AACGACTCACGGACCGGTACCGGTCCGAGGCCCGGGGGTTGGGGACCGCTGCCCTAAGACACAGGAAGTAAGTTTATGCTAATTCAAAAATGTATACAGTAAGAACAAATGTATTACTACTGTGTAACATGATCGTGTTAGCATGCTGACTAAGTTTCACAGAGCTGCAGTCTAGTCAGAGCACCCAGTGCCCAAAAATGCACACACACAAAAGTTATGTGCAAATAACTAAAACAATCTATAAAGAGTAGGTCTCTTTAAAAGTATACATAATCATGGCTGTTTTCTTCAAGGTGTTTTTGAACTAAGGAAACAGTATTTGTCATTGCCCAGACTATGACAACACACACACACACACACAGACTGCTACTTGTGTCGTGTGTGAAGTCCCCTCCCTCTCTCGAGACATAACACCCTCTGAAGATGAGCAACACCTAAACCGAGACTCATTTTGACTGCATGAAAATAAGGTTTTAAGAATGATGAAAAAAGTAACAGTTGTCTAAATTATTTTTTATTTCCTTCACCTTATTCGGCCAGTTTGCTGATGTTGTTATTTTTACAGCAAACAACATCCATGATATGTGGAACCCTCGGCTTTGACTTTAGCGCCACTATTGATCTCATTGTTCATTCATTCTAAACCAAATTGGGTTTTTTTTGCTATTATATAACTACTTTGATGTCATGCTTATTAAAAATGTAAATAATGGTTAAAATGGATATCCTATCATTCCACTTTTTGCACAAATGCATTCCACATGTCTGATGATGCTGCTACCACCAGAGGGCACTCTAATACTTTTTATATCACATATTAACCCAAAGAGAACAATCAAGGTAAATGTTTAAACATGTAAACTGTTTTCATTCATTTTACAGTCATTTTTCACCACCTCTACTCTTTAACTGACATTACTCTTAAAATATGAGGTCACAAATGTTTGCTTGTTAACTTAAGACACAATAGCAACCACAGGTGTGGCCAGCACTGCAGCTGCATGTGACTTCATTATTTCCAAGTTACTGTCCAAATCAAGACATGCATAACATTCAAAATAGTTTGCTTTTAACATTTTTAAGCAATTAATTTCTATCCTCATTATACATGTTTGCATTTGCAAAGATCACCAAAAAGTGACAGTGAAATCGGTTTGTGGCTATGTTAGCAGCAAGTATCACAGAATGACTTCAAATCCATTTGCAGTGTTGGGAAGGTTACTTTTAAAATGTA